GGGGGGGGGGGGGGGGGGGGCAGAGACTGGCAGACTGGGTTGTTTAGGGTTGTTGTCCATGCGATGAGTTGGAAAAGGAGCTTCCTAAAGCTTCACGGGGACCCTTGATTCGAACAACTTCGAGCCTTAAACCCTAAAGCCTAAACCCCTATAAACCCTAAACTTCTGTAAACCCTAAACCCCTATAAACCCTAAACCCCGAAACCCTAAACAGTTGCTATATGCTTCGTGCTCGGAGTTTTAGAGCCCTTTTTAAAACCCAAAGCCGCACGTGCCGAAACCCGAAGAACCCTATAGACCTTGTTGTTGTTGTTGTTGTCGTCGTCGTCGTCGTCGTCGTCGTCGTCGTCGTCGTCGTGGTTGTTGTTGTTGTTGTTGTTGTTGTTGTTGTTGTTGTTGTTGTTAATGTTGCTGTTGTTGCTGCCGTTGTTGTTGCCGCTTCCACACCGACAACTGTGCAGCAACAACAACAACGACAACGGAGAAGACGAAGCAACAACCAACACAATCCAAAATCGCCGGCCCACTCGATACACTGCAACGAAAGGAAATGCTGGACGGCAACTAGCACAAGGGAGCGGCACATGCTGTTCCATCCGTGGTTCTGCATTGCCACGTGCGCGAAGACATTGCCGCGGCGCAGATTGACACGCATTTCGTATTACGGCACGAAAGGCACTAATCACATATCACCCACAAGGGCGACAAGGCCATGTCGGGTTTTTAGTTCCCAGTTCAGATCCGAGGTGTCGGTCTGCCTACGTGGTTGAGCCTGCAGCGTGCACAGACTTTCGATTTGATGCCTCCGAAACCTTGTCCAGAGCGGGGAATAGCAACGCGACGCTTGGGACCTGGCAAAGGCAGCTGAATTTGAAACACGGCGTGTGCGAATCAATGCGTCAAGGGCGAAGTTTCTAAAAAAACGGCGTGCGAATCAATGCGTCCTGCCCGGCGTAGCCTTTGAAACACGCGTGTGATTTCGGACCTGGTGTTCAGGCAAAACCGACACAAGCTGACGAGTTCAGCAGATCCTTCTTCGCAGCCTGTGTATCTGTTAAAACTCACGGGATTACCGCTTTTTTTAAGTTTTAACAGGCGCGGAGGTCACCCTAAACTCTCAACTCTCAATACCGAAGTCCCAGCCCCAGAACCCTGAGACCCAAAGCCGAAACCTGCAACCCCGAACCCGAAAAGTTGATGCCCCAAATCCTGCGCCCTCAGCGTCAAATCCTACGCCGTACACCATACACCGACAAAAATGTCCCCCCAAACCAATTAATTGAAAGATGATGATTAGCACAATTGCTTCTATAGCAATCAGTGAACACGTACATTCGATTCGCCCCGAAGTCCAGAATGCTGAAACCTCCAAAGGCCCACGCTGGAGATTTCGGACAAAGAACGGGCTTAAGTGGCAAAGGAGGGAGCACAGCCTGGCGTCGATGGGCTTCTTGAACTCAATCTTGTGTGTGGCCTTGCTGTGGTCGCTTGGTGCGTTCGTGGAAGTCCACAGGGGGACCGCTACCGCAAAATTGTAACTAATAGCAATAATAAACACGCAGCAAATAATGACAACAACATTAATACCAGAAGTGCAGTAGTATTAAAAATTAGTTAGCATAGTAGTATTATTCTTATGCGTATTGTTCATATGCTATTGCAACTGTAATGTTAATATTGGTGTTGGTAATGCCGTACCATTATCTTTCTCACATTTTTGGCCGTGTAGCCGTCAGAAAGCGAACGCAACGAGCAAAACTAATCCCCTAAACCCTAGACCCTAAACCCTAAACCGACTTGGCGGTTTTAGGGGGACCGACGGCTTTGAAGCAGAGGCCCTAGCTCCCATCCTTGAACTTCGCAGTGAGGGATAAGAGGCGCTAACAAAGAGGCCTTCACAATTATGTGCGTATGTATATATATATATATGCATATATATATATATGCACTTGCTCAGAGTGATTGGAGTTACTCTCTAGTAACTCTAGTACAAACGAGCAGCTGCAAACTTCTAGCACGTGAAGCTGCTAGTATTCCTTTTCAAGGGTGGTCAGAGTTGTCGAAAATGGTCTGAGGATTCTGAGACGTAGTGCTACGATTGTTGCCATCCCTGAGGCTCACAAAGACGATGGCTCTGATAGTGGCGATGATAGCGATGATGGCGCTTCTGCTGATGCCGATGGTGGTCTTTACTAGGGTTTTACGCAAAACCCTAAACCCTAAACCCCTCAACAGCCTAAAAAACTAGACCTCTAAGCCCTGAACCCCTACACCCCCAACCACTAAACCACTGGACCTCTGAGCCCACAACCCCTACACCCCTGAACCCTAAGCTGAAAACCCAAGTCGGGACCCCGGTCCACGGCTTTTCGAAGCCGGACGCTGTCTTTGTCATCCTTGCGAAACATGAAGAGCTACGCAGGCTTCGGGTCCGGTTCCGGTTTAGGGTTTAGGGTTTAGGGTTTGCAAGAATCAAGCATTCTCTGGCAG